GAAAACAGACAATATCAGTGTAGAAAATGAATGGCTGATGGGAACACAGTTATAAACTTCAAAAGAGATAAAAATCAACCACAGAAGTTGATTTACATTGAAGAAGAGGAGGGAGAAAAAAAGAGATCTAAGGAAAAAAAGTCAGACTTGAAAAATACATATCAATTTAAGAGAGTACATTGGTACTGTGGCTATGCTGTCTGTATGCTGTGGAATTTCTTTTTTGCTAGTGCAGTATCCAAAACTATCTTCCACTGTATTGCAATAATAAAAGACAGCAGAATTTAAAAATAAAGTAAGATGATCACATTAGTATCAATGTATCAATCACATAACGTAGCCAAAGAGAACGGGGGGTAGGGTCAAAGCCCCTAATCTCATTTTCATACAAGCACTCAGCAGCACCCAGCTCAGCGCAAAGGAGAGTTCACGCTGAAGGTCACCATGGTCACATACAAATGACAAATCACATTTCTATGAATTAACTGCAGCTATAACTACAAGTATTCAGGATTTCCTCTCTGAATTTTCTGTCTCTCCATCACCCCAGAAAAACAAGAAGCTACCTTAAGCATCATCAGTTTATATGCACAGTCCACCTTCTCCTTGACATTATTTGAAAGAAAAAATGGTTTTGTCAAAGGGGTTCCCTCCGCCTATACCCCCTAAGGAGAAAAAGGTCTAGAGAGAGAAAGAGGAATTTCTGGATCTTTGGATTTTTACCAACACACTGATCAAAAATTCATGCTAAAAATTACCCTCTGCCTCTCCCACTTCTGCCCTCAGCCTCTGCAAGGAGGAGATCTTATGTCATGTGTGTTCAGGGAGAGAGCGCTGCATGCTGTAAAGTAATGATGTATTTCACTGCACAAGTGTGCAGGGAAAGAAGGAGATGAATGCCCAGTTCAGGGTCTGCATTACTACGTACCATGGAGATGGCTCCTGAGCCCTGCTGCATCAGGGCTACCTAGGGATGGAAGGGCTGCCAGGCTGAGGGAACAGCATGCTGCCTTCGAGGGGGGCCCTTAAAAAGTTTTACTGGTCTTCTAGGGCTTGACTAATACCTTCTCTTCCCTTGGCTTCATAAAGATTTCTAGAGCATATCTGAGATTTGACCCTGAATATATGATGTTATTCTTGCTGTGTAGTAAGCATCAGTGGTGTCAGGCATGTAGAGGCAAATCTGCTCTTTGTTAGAGAGCTACATGCCAAAATGAGTTTGTAGAACACGCTACAAAAAGGATGAAACGCTGCTTACAATGCAAAGCCCACTGTAATCTACATATTGCTGCAATATTTATTATCAGCCAGAGCATATTATCCGAGATTAATAAATTATTCTTAGCCCATATCATGGTAAGGCATAGAAACTGCCATAAAGCAGCACTGTCACATAAAGAAATTTCACCAAAGTACCCTGCTTGAAATAATGACTTTGTTTATCTATAACTTTACATTATTGATTGAGTTTGCTGAACTGAAGAGGGACTATGAAGTCATTCCAAAAGAACTACTGAGAAGTCTGGAAGCACAGCCAATATAAAGCTAGCAGCAAGAAGGCAATTTCCCTGAGAAAAAAATAGTCATACTTGGTTATTTTACAAATATGCAAGCAAATTACATTCTGTTTAAGTAAATAAGAACTAATGCCAAACATGTGTCTCTCAGTGTCTGATTGTCACAATTTTTACCGGTAAGAATTTTTTTCTTGTAAGACTGTAGTGCACCTGAAACAAAGCAGCAACACAAGAGGATGCCTTCCAGTTTCAGAGGACGTGAAAAGCAAAGCTTTCATATAGGCATTCCAGACTGTCCTATGACCCAGCCACATAAGGGTAACTTCCAAGACAACAAGCTTAAAAACGGACATATTAAAAAAACAGTTCCTCCCCCAACACTGACTAGTTGATTTCCTTCAGCTTGTGGTTAAAACCTTGGCATTGCTAACCCCACCTGGCAGATTTAGATCCAAGGGAAGATGTCGGAGCATTCAATATTGTCCTGTCACTCCCAGCTTCTGGCGCGCTGGCTCCCCAGTCAGGCGCCGTGGATTGCCTTACTCTCACCTCACACCAGAGATCTGCAGTGCTGACATGTGTGTCCCAGGCAGCTGTCTGCACCGCCTGCAGTCAATGGAGAGGAACAGGCGCTCATGGGCTTGAGTCTCTCTTTCTCCCTAAATTAGACAGCTAGAATAGGTCAAAAGAATTACCGCCTGGACACAGCAACTGCTATCCAGCCCGTATGCAGGGAGGCGAGATAACTAGCTCGGATGCAGATACTGATGTTGCAGATGTCTAACTACGCGAGACGAATCCTGAATGCCACAGACAGCACACAGGGAAAGTCAGGAGCCTCACCAAGGCAATGCCCCACAGCCCCGCAGGCTGTACAAGACTGACCCAAAGCAAATACCTACCACAGGGCATTTGAAATCCCTTTCTGCTCCTGGACAATAGGCGGCAATAGGCAAATATATATATACACATGCATATATATACTTATAATCCTTATGCAGGATAGTTTAAAACGTGTCTGAAAAACAACCAGAAAAAGGTCAACTGTTGTCTTGCACCTGCCACCAGCATCTACAAACTAGGCTTGGTATTTTGTTTAACAAAGACAAGATTGCACAACAGCAATCCAGTATTGAAGGAAAGGATGCTGCCATCCCTTTGGAGGTGCCATGCTGTACTTCCCAGCCAGTATCCCACAAGAAGAGAAGACTCTCTCTCAGCAAGAAGTTATTTTTTCTTGTTAACTGTATAACTATTCACAAGAAAGAGCTTACAAGCTCACTTAAGAAAGAACACACTCTATGGGACAGTCTTCCAGACTCTGAGGTCCAGCCTACCTCACTTAGGCACTTGGCTTAGACCTATGCTTTACTGCCTACTGAAGCAGCCTTTCTATGCATGCCCCTACGCTGCCCGGTTATTCAGCAGAACAGTAGGTGCCTTTCCACATCCTCAGAGGAAATTCCTGTCTGCTAAGTTTAGACGCTGAAATTGAACACACAGGATCTCCCTTTGGAAGGCTTCAAAGGCACTTTCCTCTCTGCAACAAGGGTATGTAGAATGTGGGCTTTTATTATCAGTGGACTACTTTGTTAAAGTCTAATATTAAGGTACACGTTAGATGCCTAAATTAAGAATAGAGCCTGGCTGTAAGGCACTATATTATAGACCAAGAAAGAAATGGATTGAGTGGAGTCGGTCTAATGTGCTAACGTCTCTTTTCAGCTCAGCAGCTGTATGTGTCGTGTCTGTGACTGAGAATGAAGTAAAAAAGAAGACAAATTGCAGATCACAGTCAAATTAGATTTTCCTAATGGGGCTTTTGAAATAAACTAACAGATTACTGTTTAAATAAAACCTGTAACAACGATGAGTTGATGTTATATTATTAAATTTCTTAATTTAATTCTTAAGCTCCAGAGCCAGCCAAGTAATATTCAACACATTTACCTTCACAAACTGTGGAATGCATTGTGAAAAAGCTAAAAAACCTTTTCATGGTTTGACCAATTCTCTAAGTGTCCAAGCAATATCAATCACAGAGAATAGTATCTGCCTGCTAGTCATATGTTAGAAGTATTTGCTAGCACCCCATGCTTCCTCTTTTCATTAATTAGACAGAACCATTTAGTGCAAAATCATGATGGTTGTTTTACTTTTCTGGCTTATTATGTGTGCTATAAACTGAGAAAAAAAATACTTAGCACTTCAGGGCCTGGTGTTGTAACTAGCGAATTCAAAATATGTGTGAGGCCTGTCTATCAAGCAATAGTGTCACTGGTGAAGAAAGCTTCCCTTCCTTTATCACTGTCAGAAGGGGAGCATGCTAATTACAGTGAGAGCCAACGCCTTGCCTTGCCTTGCCTATAGAGAACTCCCTCTCTGCTTAAGGGGAATATAGGTTTGAGGTTACTCTGCTTGATTAGAAAATGAATTAGTGGAAGTCTGGTGAACACCCAAAAAAAGTAGTTCCCCCTCAAACACGGCTTAGATTCCTCTAAGCAAACAGGACATTGCTTTGGAAATGTCAGTGCTTTTGGCTACTGATGGCCAGGAAAACAAAGCAAAACTAAGTAGTTTTAGATAAGACATTTAAAATGCATCTATAATAAATTATCTAATAACAATGTCTAATGGCCTTTATTATATCCCTTTCTATTTAATAACATCCAGAATGCCCATATTTTGAAAGTCTCAGATAAAGTAATGTGTTTTGTGGGTCTAGCACAGGCTTCAGTGCCTGGAGGCTCTAGTTCTATTTCCAGCTCTGCTTCAGACCTACAGGGTGACCTTTACGCATAACCTCATTTTCCTCACCTATAAAATGGGGATATTAATACTTATTTACCTCACATTTGGTTCCCTTCCAGCTGCTACAGTGACTGAGCAAGCTCATGCATCTACAGAATTGCTAATGTTCATGATAAACTTTTTCTTTTTTTTTAAACAAGCAATACAGACATTACAGTAAGAAATTATTTGTCCATCCAGTGAGTAAAAGTACACAGAAAAATAATAGTAATGGAAAAACTGTTCAAAGCCTTTCAATGTCCTTTCAATGACACTGTCCATCAGGAGAAATGTAGGTAGTTCCCATTTGACAGCAACTAGAAGAAACTTCTTGATGCTGCTTTCAGTCAAGAAAAAAATTTCATGTTTTTTGAGTGAAAGTCTAACCTGGTCTCTCTTTGGATATAAAAACACTGCAAGCTTTGCAAGTAAATAAAGGGGAAGAAACAATTTCAATTTGAAACTTTACCTAATAATGAGGACTGAGAGAAAGAAAGGAAAAGAGAATCAGAGAGAGATGAGAGATACAGCCATCTCTTCCTAAAGGGAACAAAGCTACACAGAAGAGATGCTGGCAGGTATGCCGGCCCGCAGCTGGGGGGACACCCTTGCGGCGCCACCAAGGGCCGGTGCCTCCATTGGCCAGGGAGCACCTCAGCAACACTCATCTCGCTCTGGGAATGCGATACTTACTCTTGTACTGCTCTGGCTATGGAGAGCGCTGTAGATCCAGTTTCATTAACGCTATCTAAGGTCACATTTGGCAGGTCGTCATCATCACTGTCACTTTTAATTTGTCTGGGAGATAGGCCTCGGGGGTCCATTTGTGCTGGAAAGAGACATATAATGGATTAATATGAGCGTGCTGAAATTAATCTTGTCCCAGAACAACGTCAGGGTGCACAACACATCCACTCGCTCAGGCTGGATGGCACCGCTTGTGCTGAGCTTCCCAAATCAGGTGATGGATTCTCAAAGGCATCTAGCGGTGCTACAGCTAGGCGCAAGCATTTCCAGCGGCATGCAGGCGTGCGAACACACACAGACTACACCAACGCATTCGGCGGACCTGAAATAAAACTGCACACATAAGATTTGTCAAAAACTCAGTTTACCCTCAAGTTACTTATTCTGGATGTCTTCAGAAAGCAAAGAGAAAGGACTATGTCCGCTTTGCACAATACAGCACACTCAAGAGTAAATTTTACAGCAAAATTTTAGGAGCAATCTTTGATTTCGACTGTCCATTACGAGATACCAGGCTGGGACACATGTCACTCCAGTCAACTAAAAGTTAGGTGTCAAAAAACCCTCAGTTGTACTGATTTCAGACTCAATTCAACACCAGTGTCAACCTGGGAAGGAGCCTTCCCTCCACATTACACGTGGCAAAGCTGCTGCGTCTAACTTCACACAGGCAACTAACTTTCTGGTGACTGATGGCGGGTAGGCTTAGGCAGATTTTTTTGAAAACTCACACAGTCTCAGGTCTTATGAACAGGCGAAGATCAGAAATTGCAGGATTGTTTTGTCCATCCACAGCTTACAGTATCCATACTGTATGGCAATGCACCGGGTGCGGGTGCCCAGGCGCTCGCAGGGGACGCCGCAGGGGCGGCCTCTGTGAGGAGAGGCCGGGGCTGCCCCGTGCCGGACACAGCCGGTTCCAGCCGGCTCCAACTGACCCACCGCAGGGAACGGCTGAGCCCCTCAGCCATGATGGTGGCGTCTCAGGGAAAACAGGTTTAAGAAAGGGCAAAAAAAATACCACACAGGCAGAGTGAGGAAGAAAGTGTGAAAAACAGCCCTGCAGACACCAAGGTGAGAGACGAAGGAGGGAAGGACATGCTGCTCTATGGTGGAGCAGAGATTCTCCTTCATCTGAAGAGGGAATTGCCCTTCACCATGAAGAGACCATGGTGGAGCAGGGGAACAACACGAGGAGGAAGGAACAGCAGAGATGAGCTGTTATGGACTGACCACAGCTCCCATTCCCCATCCCCCTGAATGAAGGAGTGAAATTGAGCCTGGGAAAAAGGGGCCGGTGGTGGGGTGGTTCTTACCATCCTAATCTACTTATAATTGGCAATAAATTAAATTAATTTTCCCCAAGTCAAGTCTGTTTTGCCTGTGACAGTAACTGGTGAGTGATCTCTCTGACTTTATCTCAATCCATGAGCTCTTCCACCTTATTTTCTCTCCCATCCCAATGAGGAGAGAGATTGTGAGAGCAGCTGGGTAGGCATCTGGCAGCCAGCCAAGATCAACCCACCAGAGTTACTTTTTGTGCCAAAAAGAGATGGGAAAGGAAAGGGGAGCAGAAAGGTGGGCTACCTGCCTTCCCTCTTCTCCTGGCTGCTGCCCTCCAAAGGGAAGTAAGCACAACCCGCATATGGGCAGAGGGAGGAAACCAAGAGACGGGTGTGAGGGGGACTAATGGGGCACAAATGTGACCTGGGATAATCCTGAGAGGAACTGGGGGTTGCTTGTGTCAGGGGACAGACCCAGAGACAAACTTCGGAGGTGATGTAAAGAAAGAGACATCCCTCCTCAAGCATGAAATACCATGTAGGATTAGTAAGTGCTGAGAGGCACTGAAAGCAGCTGGAGTAGAGAGCAAAACTGGAGAGATGCCTGACCCTGCAAGGGAGGAGCAGGAAGGGGAAGACAGGCAAAGAGATTTGTTTAAAAATGTGTTTGTTTTGTTTGGCCAGGTGAAATAGGGGAATCCGAGATTATTTATTTAAAAATCTAACTGTTGAGTTTGTTAGCTTGTGCTCTCCTGTATTGCAGTCCAGAGATAGGACACTTTCTGGGTCTTGCGACGTGCTTTTCAAGAAAGATAGCTGTCATTCCTACTCAGCTCCGGCTAACCGCAGCCCTGGACAACAGGTATCACAGGCTCCCTTTAGAGATCATTAACAGTTCAGCGGGCCTACGGCTAGACATCCACTCCAAAAGTCACAGTTAAATTTCCCATTTTGCCATGTTTCTTATGTTACTGTGTTCACTGACTCTAGAAAAGGGACTGAGTCACACTGAAGAATGGGAGGCCTGTAGATACTCCAGGAGCTGTGAAGCCATAAAAGTAGCACTGATGGATAGCTGGGCTCTCGAAAAGAAAGCCTCCCCAAATGAGTGATGACTCAAGGGAAAGTTGGTCTTAAATTTTAATTTATGTCTTAGCTGTGAACCACCTCTGAGTAAAAGAACAGTGAGTGATTATGACTACCCTTCAGCTACATTTTTTCTGATGTTAAAGAACTTTGTAAAGAAAATACTATTAAAATATATTCAGTAAGCTTACGCAACAGCCCCTTCTGGAAGCACAGTGCATTTACAGATGCACAGTGTGACTTCCATTAGCTTTCTACTAGCACAGTTTAGGTGCCTCGGTAATACTGGCTACATTTGGACTGCTTATTATTTCTTCATGTGTGGTAAAGAAAACACCTTTTGCTTGTCAAAGCAAAGACTGTTGACAATGAACAATGACCTGCATGATACAAACGTACAGCAACCTAGAAATTGTTCAAAACATTTAATTGTTTTAGGTAGAATGAGGACCATTCCGACTGTGCTTCTTAAAATCATGACTTACAGATGATGGTATTCAATGCGTATCTAAGCATTAGGGATAATCTAGTATTTGATTTAAGAGCAACTGAACTAACTATCTAGTCAGCTGATTCAGCCCCAGAAAACTATTTGGAAAGAAGTGCTATTTCTGAGGATGTCTTGTTCCCTAATGTTCCTTCTTAAAAGCAACTTTAAGGATGAAATCATTATTGCTTATTTCATTACTTCTTCAGTTTTTCTTAAAGTGAATCTCGTTGCAAGAAGTTATATGTTTTTATCTGCCCAATATTTAAACGCTGCTATATGTGATGATTTTGTGAAAGCTAACGTTTGTAAATAAAATTAAAATTGTAACAAAAAACCTATGTATGCGATACTTTGTATTAACGGTGGCTTAATTGGACTTACACTACAGCAAAAGTTTTAAGTAGCTAGCTCAGAAACTTTCTTAATGTTTAAACCTAAGCCTAACTTCAAATCACAAAAGTTGTTACATAGTTTAGTCTGTAATACAGTTATTATACACAAATTTTGATCACTTAAGTGTGAATACACATGCATAAAAAGAGACAGTATAAATGTATATGAAAAATCTTACGTACTTTTGTTCCTTATAAGACACTCTGTTTCATTATTATTGCAGATCGCCAGCTTTTAAGATATTATCGAGACTCCTATGATATTTGGTGTTGGTTTTAGATTGCCAGAGGAATGTGCTAGGATGAAAACTCTCAATTACATTAAAACGCTAACCACCTTTTTGTTTCTGCTCGGTGAGGTAAATCGTACTCTGTATACTCCTAACATAGCCATGAAGTTGTCAAACGGGGTTGTGCTTTTGCACCTAGGGATAATTTGGCCCACTGGGCACGGTTTGCCCCACCAGACGCCAACGTTTGAGCACATCACAAGGTGCTGTTACACTTGAGCACGGTGAGAACAAAAGGCGAGGAACTGAAACGTATCAGTGGGCAAATTCAAAGGCAGGCAATTCAAAGACATTTTTTGTTATATTTTTTGCAGTGAACCTAACTAAAGATGATAATTAAATTAGAGAATGATCTAGGGATTATTCCCTTATTTTTTAATGTCAGCCCACATATACACCCTTTTTTGTCCCCTCCTCCATTTGTGACCTCTTCTCAGCTTGCAGACTTGGGTGGCCGAGGCGCTGGGGAGCCGAGGTGACTAACCAGAAGGCTGAACTTCGCCACTGCCAGCTGGTGTAAACTGCCCTGTTTTCTCATCAGCATGGCTGCAGCTGCTGCAGGGAAAACAGCCTTTAAAGCTATTCTCCTCCCCCAAATGAGCAATGTGAATAACCAACTGGCCAAAAGCCTAACAGATATCTCCTCCTCACCACTCGCTACAGTGTGCAAACTGCATAGAGGATTTTTATACATTCAGAGTTCATGACTCCTACTTATGTCAACAGCTTTGACTTTCTCTTGGACATCTAAGAACAACTGTCGAACTGCTGGCACCAAGGTTTATAAATACCAGCGGCAGTTCATCAACGCTGAATTAAGAGTAATTATTGGCCTAACGAACATCAAACTGGAAAGAATGAAGAGATGCAGGCAAGAGATAATTTAGCAAATGAGATGAAAAAGGTGGAGGACAAGTGAGTAATGGGACGTAATTGGCAAGCAAGGTGGAGGAGAGTCCACAAAACATGCCAGTGCATTTTAACCTCCCTTCGTGCTGTACCTTGCTCTGATGACCAAGCTTTTCCTTGAACTTAGGACTACAGGTCCGGAAAGGACCCGGCTGGGTCACTGAATCGAGTCCTCCCTATCACAGGCAGACACATTTCATTAATAAAGCTCAAGCCTTAAAAATGAGCTGGTTTTCTTGCCCTTGCTACTCCTCTTGAAAGGCAAGATTTGTCTGACACAGCTATCCGGTGGTTTTGTGAAGTGTGAATGAGGCTAAGGCGAGGCGAGCAAAAAGAAACGAGTCAGAGACTGCTTTCCTGGGACAAAGGTGTCATTGAAAGAGTGCACAGGAGCTACAGAAGCAAGCTGTTAGCACTCCATGCTGAAAAGACTGGCAAGCCAGGGGAGTTATTTAAGAACGCCTGCAAGCGCTGAAGGCTGCAAGCGGCCACGTCGCTTTCCATCCTTGTTAGCCTCAAGAAACAATGATCCTTTTTGCTAAAGAAAGTACAGAGAATTGCTCTTGATGCATGTACATATATGCAGTCACTTCTCAATGGCCCCTCTGCCAAACTGTACCAAAAAGGAGTTT